AAGGCCACTTTTGTTGACAAAACCCTGTAGTCTAGACACACCCTAAGGTATTGTCAGCAAGGCTACGTTTTCTACAGCAATACTTTAAACTGCGATTCTGTGGGACTGTTATGTGCTATCATTTCTCTATCCAGCTCCAGTCTTAAACCTCAGTACTAAGATGCTGCATCTTCCTCTATTCCAGCCCTATGTCTCTGAGCATTGACTGACAAAGGTGTGTACAGGAAAGGGGCATGGCAAGATAGTCATGCAGACCAACAGTCCAGGGTCAAACAACCAATTTATCTTATGTTATGTGTGGCCTAAATTAAGATTTGAAGCCAGACCTCCAGGTTTAAAGGCCTAATGCCCCGCATCACAAAATCTGTACCTCAGGTTCCCCTACTCAGCATGGTTTTGATTCCATATGGCATATATATCAATAGTAACTCTAGTAAGTGCTACCAGCCACGTCTGGGCAAGTCCCTTTATCTCAGTGTCCCAGTTTCAGGATTTTTAAAATGGGGCTAATATCACCTCTCAGGGGTGAAGAGGCTAAAGCAGTGCATGACTGGAGATAAGGGTACCTCAGTTATGATCACCACAGAAACTCCTAAAATAAACTGGCACAGTGAATGTGGCTGTTGAAATGGGGTCAGAAATGTAAGGTGAAAGAATGCCAAGACGGCAATTGGGAAAAGGCAATTTTGAGGTGCTAAGTTAGTGAGGAAAAAATGCTGTATTAACAATGTACTCATTTAGCTCCCACCACCACATCATCTGAACATCTCTGAATGTATTGATGGATTTATCCCTGTTTTATAGATGAGGGATAGCAGCACATGGTAGATCAACAAGAGTTGCCCAGGGTCACACAAGAAGTCTGTGACTGAGCTGAATTCAAGTCTCCTGAGTATCAAGCCAATATCCTAGCTACAAAGCCAGCCTTCCTACCAATTTTTAGAGTGAAGTGTAATTCAACCCACCAGTGATAGAAACAATCTGACCTCACAATGGTTACTAGTCCCTTTAGATCATGAAAAAATAAAATACCATTTACAATGTGGGCCAATCAAGGAGAAAAAAATATGAAAAGTGGCCAAGGAATCCTCCAATGAGTGTCATGTTTTTCCAGTTAGTTTTGAAATTTGATTTCTTATTCGAGATGGACCTGAACCACAGCTGTGGTTCAGAACATCCCTGCCCTAGATCTGTGATTCAGGCCTCGGGTCCATGCCTGACACATCATTTCTCAGGCTTGTATGAAGACATGCTCTGAAGAAGCAGCAAAGAGAAAGATACATACCCTCATGTTTGGGTCATACAGGAGGCATAAAGCGATACCATCTGCCACTGTCCTTTGTAGCTCTCACAAGCCAACAGAGTGGGTACTTCTTGTTAGTCTACCTAATCTGGCAACACTCCTAAAATGCTCCTATTGGAGGATGCTGCAGTTCAAGCCAGATATCCAGGCTGGCACATAAAATTAAAAGATTATAGAGGAGTCTGCAAACTAAAGGCTGCAGGATAGCTCACAGGTATGGAGGAGCACAAGGTTTGGACAGACACTTCCTTTAAGGGAGAATTTATTAAAACAGATACTTTATATCAGTGTTTCTCAACCAGTGGTATGAATACCCTCAGGGGTACTCGAGAGAAGTCTGGGGGGGTACATCAACACAACTGAAATTTGGAGAAAACTGAATTTTGTTTTAAGTTTTACAGCACTTTATTATTTTTTACTTTTTACACCCACAAGTTTCATTGCCCGCCTGGCTACAATTAAGTTGTTTAAACAAATGTGTTGCAATGGTAGAAAAAAATTGTGTGTGCCTGAAAACTGTAGGTTCTGGGGGTACTTATATAATAACTGCTTTTTGGAGCAGCTAGTGCTGGAACCCACAAGGCAAAGCAATTCTTAGTTTAGTCCAATGGTTCTCAAAATGAGGTCTGCGGATCATCAATGGTCCACAACAGCCTTGCAAGTGGGCTGCGGGCTATGGGCTCACACCCTCTGCACTGAGGAGCCTATGCTGGTGCGCCGTCCCACATTCATCCCCCCTGGTGAGGTTGGAGCATCAGCACCAGCTTCCCCTGGGGGGGAGGGGAGGAAGGCTCTGTCTGCCACCATTCTCCCTCCCACCCAGCTGGGAGAAAGGCAGTTCAGGACATGCTCATATGGAGGCTTTCCCCGCTACTCCCATTGGCTGGAATCATGGCCAATGGGAGCAGTTGGAGGTGCTACCTGGGAGCAGCTGGTGGCACGGAGCTAGTTAAGCACCCCCTATCCTCATACCCAAACATTGCACCCTCATCCCCCCTCAAATGCACCCCTCCCGCCACAGAAAGATCTATGCTGAGCAGGTTGGTCACAGGCCAGAAAGTTTGAGAACCCTTGATTTAGTCCTGAGTAGCACACAGGATCTGATCTAAGAGGTGAATATAGGTGAATCATTGGGTAATAGCAACCATAATATAATTAAAGTTAACATCCTTCTAAGAGGGAAAATACCAAAGTAACCCACCATAGTAGCACTGAACTTTAAAATAGTGGAACTACCCAGAAATGAGGAGGCCAGCTGAACAACAATGAAAAGGACAATCACAAGAATGAAAGGTTGCAAGCTGCATGGATTTTAAAACCCCACCATAATAGAGGCTTAAACTATATGCATACCCCCAGATTTAAAAAAAATGAATAAATGGATCAAAAAATGCCACAATGACTTAACAGAGTAAAAGAGGAGGTTAGAGATTTCTTTTAAAAATTAGAAGTTAAATCTTACTGAGAAAAATAGAAAGGTGTATAAGTTCTAGCAAATCAAGTGTAAAAGCAAAATTAGGCCAGTTCTCCACCCCCACCCACACAAAATCTGAAGAACAAATAACAAAAGACATATAAACTAAACAACATCAGAAGCCAGAGCCTGTCAAACAACCACTGGGCCACTGGATGATCCAGAAGCACTCAGGCAATTCTTTGCCCTATTCTTTACTGCAGAGGAATGTGAGGGAGATTCCCATACCTGAGCCATTCTTTTTAGGTGAGAAATCTGAGGAACTGTCCCAGACAGAGGAGGAGGTTTTGGACCATACTGAAAAGTTAAACAGCAATAAGATAGCAGGACGAGATTATGTTTACCCAAGAGTTCTAGAAAAACTCATATATTAAACCGCTGAACTGCTAACTGTTGTATTTAACTTACAGATTAAATCAGCCTCTGAACCAGATGACTGGCAGATACCTAATGTAATACCAACTTTTAAAAAAGGCCCCAGAGGTGCCCTTATAACGGAAAAACTTTTCCGTTAAAAGCATTTGTGGAAAATCATGCCAGTCTAGACGTAGCCGATATGTTTGAAAAGAGTTAACATGGCTTTTGTAAAAGGAAATTCAAGGTTCATCAATCTATTAGAATTCTCTGAGGCTGTCAACAAGCACATGGAAATGGATGATCTGAAGGATATAGTGTAGTTGGACTTCCTGAAAGCTTTGGCCAGGTCCATCATCAAAGATTCGTAAGCAAACTAAGCAGTCGTGGGATAAGAGGGAAGCTCCTGTGACTGATTAGTAACCAGTTTAAAAAATAGAAAGCAAAGGGTAGGAATAAATGGTCAGTTATCACAGTGGAGAGTAGTAAATAAAAGAGTCCACCAAGGATTTGTACTGGAATCCATACTGTTCAACATATTAATAAATGATCTGGGGGGAAAAAAACCAGGAAACATTGAGATGGCAAAGTTTGCAGATGATATAAAATTAAGATTGATACATCCAAAGCTGACTGCAAATATTTAAAAAGGGATCTCACAAAATTGGGTGATGGGGCAACAAAATGGCAGATGAAATTCAGTGTTGATAAATGTAAAGTAATGCACACTGGAAAACATAATCCCTAAGATAGATACAAAATGACAGAGTGTAAATGAGCTGTTACCACTGAAGAGAGAGATCTTGGAGTCACTGCCGAGAGTTATCTGAAAACATCTGCTCGTCGTGCAGTGGCAGACTGTGAAGGGCTGTTCACCCCACACCAGAAAGAAACCTAGGGAGGCTGTACAGGTTGTAGTCATTTGACGGGAGGCCGCACAGAACAGCCAAATAGAGCCCAGAGGGCTCACATAAAAGGAGTAGCAGGCCCAGAGTGAGTCAGCGCAGGAAGCCCAAGGAGGGAGGCCTGTGCCCCTAGCAGGCTATAGGAAGGTAGCA